GAATAAAAGAGGGAAAAAAAGGAAGACAGACAAGCGGAACTAAACCAAACACCTTCAAATAAGCTGTAAACTAAAGCTGTGAAAGGTTTGGCACAAACAGCCTCAGACACAGATGTACTCCATGTATAAATGCCAGTTAACACACACACACACACACACACGCACACACAGCCTGGGGCTACACCGTCAATCCGCAAAACCCTTCTCACCAAATTCTAATCCCCTAAACCTTCCTCTCTCTAGCCTACAGTGATTTCCAAACCCTTTACTGATGTTGCATCACGGTTGCTGTCTGTTTGATGACATCACAGACTTTCCTTGAGGTATAGATCAGTATTATACACCAGACACCACATATACCCCACCAAAGCTCCTCACAGCCCTGAAGCTGGTGAGAAAAGGCTGATTTGCATAATGGCCGAGCTATTAGCAGGTAAAACAAATCAGCCTGTCACCGTTTAGTAACCCTTGCTATTTCATAGGCAATAAAAACACGATATGTAAGCTCCCACCAGGAGAATAAAAGCATAATTTTACCACAAGGTCAAAATATCAAGCAATTATAGTTAATACATTTTTATGTGGCAAAAGATATCACTTTAGTGTGCAGGTGGAATATTACTGACAAAAAGATATAGAAATAAACATGGTTATAGCCTATTACTGTATATGAACTAAAACAACAGCCCTGTGGCCAGCACAACACACCAAACACTCACACACACACACACACACACACACACACACAAACCCCACAATAGACTAAAAAGCTCAGGTCCAAACTTCTGTCGAAGCAGCACTGAAACCTGCTAAAAACTTTCTGCCGGAAGCAGGTGTGGATGAATATTCATGAATGGAACGAGTATCAGGTTGCCTTTCCAACCACTATTGTGTGAGTGAGTGAGACACTGTGTGTGTGTGTGTTCCTGTGTGTGCTTCTGTATATCTGTGTCCTCGAGTGGGTGGAAAAGCGGCAATTGCTCAGAAAGGAGAGGGACAACTAAAGAAAGACAGGGTGAAAACAAAAAGCAGACCAACTGCAGTTCTGAATATTCATAAGGAGTGGAGTGACTCACAATAAATCAGCAGGAAATAACAGGAGGGGGGTTTGTTCCACTAATCCCTGTTCGATCAAGTTTGATATAAGCTTGGAATAATATTGCACAACATGTTCGGTAATTATTTTTTTTAGAACATATAGCTGAGTGGTTCAAAGCAGGGACGTTGAAAGGGGTCTTTTGAAGCAAATTACAGAGCTCTGTAGCAGCCGCTATGCATTTTAATCGTCAGAACTTTAATCAGGGTGCCCAGAAAATTTGAGAGGGCGAGAAAAGTGACATAAGCTCAATATGCAAACACAATGGCCAACAACTTTCGCATTAGACCTTTTAGAGAATTTCAAAAATCCATTGTGTTGGAAAAAAGGACTCATGACCAGATGCTGCAATAAAGCAGACAGAAGGGTCAGTCAGTGGCCATGAAATGGAAAACCTGGTATATTACAGTCTTTATTTTGTGGTTTTGGCCGCCATTTCTATTGGTTGTGATAACATTTTACTCCAAGCTAATGCTGTGATCTGGGGAAATTGCGACAATACTACAACAAAGTTTGACAAGGCAAGAAACACAAGTGTCCAGGCAATCAGAAAGGCTGTTAACAAGCCAATAGTTTGCTCAAATAATCTAAACCAATGCATTTGGTGGTGAAAATGGAAGTGAGCGCACCCAAAATGTCTCTCATTGCACAGGTGTGTAGACTATAACAGTAAATAGTTGATCAAAGGTGAAACCAGAAGCTGCTCTATAAATTGTCATTGATGTTCACAACAGACATTTTGGGTGATTAAGCCAACGTTTACCCTTGTTTTCTTGTCCAAGTAAATCTGGCTGAGCACGGGCTTTGTTCAAAGGGTTAGTTTGGATCAATTTGAAGTGGGGTTGTATGAGTTACTTATCCATTGTCGGTTTATTATATACAGTAGATGGTGGTCAGCACGCCCCCTGTTTGAAAAGGCAAGCAGGAGTACCGACACAGAAGCTAAGTAATGTGCAGCTTGCAAAACCTATTTTAGCCAACTAAAAAAGACATACTGAGACAAATCAGTATCAGTTGAAGAGTGCATATGCTTTATTTAAAAAAACATTCACCCCTTAACCTTGCCGTCAGAAAGCCCTTTCCAACAGCAAGCTGAAATGAAACTTAGCTCTACTCTCTTCAGAGCCAGCCTCCACTGACAAAATCAGTTATTTTAGCTTGCTGAACATGGGAGCTGCTGGTCTACAGCTGCCTCATTTGGTAGTTTGTGTTATTTTCTGACTTTGGTATTTAAAGGAGTTGGCTAAGATTCAACAAAGTCACACAATAACACAAACAGACTAGAGAATGAAGACACTACACTGCAATGCTGGTTTAAACGTTAAATAATACCATTAATGTCTGAATAATGTGGAATATTTGAAGGATTTTTTTTTTTTTGAAAAGCTTACAATACACTGCAATGTTGACTTAAATGTGTAAAAAGAAGGTAAAGCGAGAGGAATGGCTAAAAAGGTTGAAAGGGGTCAAATGAGTATAAATGTCAGTGAAAAGTTGAATGATACCAATAATGTGGAATATTAGCTAATATCTTAGCTTCTTTTAAATCAATGTTGCATCTGCCAAGATTCATTTACAACTGTGGTATTGCTGGTCCAAATGATGGCCGCAACAAAGAAATAAGACCCAAGTTGTAATAAACCTGAACCATCCTTTCTAAGACAACAACACTGACACCAGCTACATCAACAGGCAAAAAATGTGCTAAAACATGCATGGGAACAAAACATATTAGTAAGCTTGTATCATAGATAGTACACTGTGCTCTCTTCTCTGTCTGTCTGTCTGTCTGTCTCTGTCTCTCTCCCTCTCACATCTGCTTCAAAGCCTCCTTCCATTGAATAGGGAGCTTTATCAAAAACCTGGCCTCAAAAAATGTGAGGGACACATTGCCAAAGGGCTACACACACACACACACACACACACACACACACACACAGTACATACACACCCAGACATGCACACTATCACACTAAAACGCTGTCACGCCACAATAGAAAGGCGAAAAGTACATTTTCTCTGATCGTAGTCCATTACCATGGAAACCCTGTTTAACAGCTGGTTTGCATGCCAGAACTATGCTGGTATTCACCCTACATAATTTAAGCCCCATTCAGATGAGCTTTGTCCACTCAGTGATCTAGTGGGGCCAATGGCAGTCATACATATTTGAAAAGCAGGAGGAGGAAGTGGACTGAGAGATGCTCCACTGGAGATGTTGCAAGAAGTAAATTAGGAGAGTGCTGGAAAGATCCAAATCTTCATGTGGTGTGAGGCGCAGAGAGGCAAAGACGGTGGGAAAAGTGCAACACAGAAGAAAACAAGAGGCTGGAGAAGTGGAGAAAACGAGCACCAAACACACAAGAGACAAAGAGAGGTGAAGAGAGAATGTGAACTGCGAGGGGAAACAGAGAGAAGAAAATCATATTGTTTCACCCGCAGAGAGAAGACGATAAATTATTTATGTAATCCTCTGTTTTTCCCCCCAATCAGTTAGGATTGTGCACTTATTCCAGTGAGTGTGGAGAGAGCAAGAAGAGCGATAGAAGGAGGGATGAAGGAGCATAGAGATTGAGAGAGTATCTGAGAAATGAAAGGGAGAAGTGAGTGCTGAGGACTCGACATGATTGGCATTTTAATGTGATACCGAGATCGCTGTGAGACCAGCAGCTCACAATGGTTTCAATAATAATAATGATAGTAATAATAATGACTTCGCAGTTGGACCCACATGGCCGGGGCAGAGCACTGTAGTGGAATCTGCTACAGCTATTTATTCCCATCTTTACTTCAATTCATTACCGTCCTCTCCTCAGCTCAAACAGTTGCCAGAGGTTTTAGAGTCCTGTGCTGTGCGAGAAAGTAAATAAGCCATTACAGGAGATGAAGGGATATTTTTCACCTCTTATCTCATCATGTTTATGTGTTCCCTTGAATCACGATCTCTGCAGGATGGCTTTCAACTCATTTAGCTGTAGCCGTTTACACCTCAAAGAAAACATCCAGCTTTTTTAAGGTGAGGATTGACAGCACAAATGACACAATGACTGAAATGCCAGATTTAGCAACATTCAACAACTAAACTTTAATAATTTTAGTAAATTATTCTTTGCATTGCAGCATTGTCTCCAAGAAATTACATTTCTTTTCTTGTATCTATATTTATACTGACACTTTGTGCCTTGCATGTTTTTGTCATCTTGTCTGAACTTTATCCTGACTTTAGCTTTGTCTCGCTAATGTTTTGTTTGCACTGTTTGGCTCTCTGTTGCTCCTTTTGAGAATCCTGTTTCTGCTTTTGCTTCGTCTGTCAAAACACTTTCTAAATGCTCCATACATTCCAATACAGTATTATTTGTTTGTTTGTTTTTTACCTTTTTTAAATTTACATCTAACCGAAATCACAATCTTCCCCTGACCTTAACCAAAGTGCTTTGTTGCCTAAACCTAAGACAGGAGTCTGGACGTGAACCCAAAGTTCAGATGTCAAGGTCCTGCACTTTGTACGTCTGCCATGCTTCCCAACCATCTCTTTCCAAAGCCTATGCTGTCCATGAATGTAGTGTTTCACTACCTGAAAGAACTGTTGTCTGTAAACATAATCAAGGCAGCGATTACACTGCAACAACAACAAAATTAAGAAAGCAGTTTAGTAACATACAAACATAATTTCAGGGAGACAGGGGTCGTGCATTGAGTAGTGATTCATGCTACAGGTGCCAATGAATCAATGAACCTATGACAGCTGACTGTGCAGACAGAGTTACCTCAAGGTCTGCGTGTGTGTTTGTGCGTGTGTGTTTAAGTGTATGACCTCGACGTGTCTTATCTTGTCAGTCAGGATAGTATGACAGTGGAGAGAGAGATAAACAATGAGTCAGCAAACACCCTCAATGAATTTCAATCAGGCCAGATGGGCTGCTGCTGTGTCATGAGAAATATCCAGACCTGCATTCCCCATGATGCCGCCACACAGCGACTGCAGACAACACAGAAAACTCAGGGACCAAACCTCTGAACATAATGACTGCACCTTATGTTGTACCAGCAAATGGGTGATAATCTTACCTTAAATTAGATGATGCTTTTGAGTTTGATCAGTTGGAAGCTTGGGCTCAGTGTTGGGCTCCTGTCATCTTGTTTATTGATTCCTATACCTGCTGCAACTATCATTTAATGGTGCTTGGGTATGTCTTTTCTTCAAGGAAACCTTTGGTTTTATTCAACCTGGACCCTTTTCTTCCATGATTTTGTGTCTTAGCTGCTAATGGGAGCAACAATTTTTAAAATGGGTCCAGTATTGAGAGAGCACTGCAGCCGACAGCTACACAACGGGCTGCAATGTAACAACTCAGGACAATGAGCACACTGTCATGCATGTCTACTGAAAGTGCTTGTTTTTGCCCGTTTTAGGCTCAGATTGTTATTTTAAGTGTCAACATAATGGAAATGACCCTGCAGAGAAATAAAATATTTATTTTTTGCCTTTTGCTTGATCTGTTTATTATTGTCTTTTTGCCATAACTCAACTCAGGAGGAGACTTCTCCTTGAGCGAGATTTGGTTAGACATAATAACAGCCTGGATCAAGTGAAAGGTAAAGAAAATGTTATGCTTCTTTTTCAGACACTTCTAAAAACAATCTGAGGTTGTCAGTGCCAAAAACAAACACTTTTAGTGGACTAAATTGGCAGTGCGCTATTGCCCCAAATGGTTATGCTGCAGCCTGTTACATAGCTGCCAGCTGCACTGTTTTTTCTTAATGCTGGACCAATTTCAAAAAGTGTTGTTCCCATTAGTCACTTAGACACAAAACCATGAAGAAACAGGGTCCAGGTTGAAAAATACCAAAACGTTGTCATCCTGCAACAACTCACAAGACTTCTCTTTAGACGAGACTTTGACACAATAACAAACAGACTGGATCAAGCGAAAAGTACAAAAAAATGTGTTATTTCTTTGTCAGACACTTGGATTTCAGCATTTACAAGCAAACCAGATAAAATGCCTTCTGCGAGAAAGCTGCTTTTGATTGGTCAGAATGCGGAAAAAATCCAGGAAGTAAACAAAACGTTGAAGAAGAGTACACTTGCAAGATAAATGTAACACTTTCTAATGTCAAAATGGAGGGACAACTACGCAGGTTGATTTTAGCGCTGCTCATCGTGGACTATATTGCTGTCATTGTTCATTTTAGTCAAACCATACAGTTTGAAAACGAGGCGCGGCTCCAACTAGAAAACAATGTTTTGATGCATTGGATGTGCTGAATGTGCATATTAAGGCAGTACAGGAGGAGGTGCACATTAATAATCCTCCAGGACTGTAACATGCTCATGTTTAACCCAAACAATGTGTCATTTGACTGCAGTTGGTTTGGATCCAGGTCAGAACACGTTCTCACCACAAACGAACCGCACCAGAGTTTGTTTGTAACTGGACTGAGACCACCTCTTCAAGAAGGTCTCGGTCCGGTTGTTTTGGTGCACACCTGAGTGCCATTGCTCTTTTCACACCTGCCCAAACGAACCGCACTTTGGCGGCAAACGAACTTGAACTCAACTGAACCGAATCAAACAGGGCAGGTGTGAAAGCATTCTTAGTGGAGGTACACTGACAGTGGGAACACAGGGTCAAGGCTGAAAAATAGTTTCCCTTTAAGATATTCCCTATTTATATATCTCAATCAAAAAGCATTTTTAGACTGTTATAAAATCTGTACAGCACTCTCAGAAATCATTTGGGTGCCATTCTGCTATCACTCTGAGCGATCGAATATAACTTTAAATTCTGAGATATTTTTGTTCCCATTTCCATCTCTACCTCTAATCATACCCATCGTCATTCTTCACCCCCTCCTCCAGCTGCCCAGCCTGCTGTTCCAGTGCATCCCCTCCAGGTAAGGAGTGATCACACCAGCCCATGACACCATGCTGGGACATGTGGCACTTCTGCCGCTACACATCTCATCTGCCTAAATTAGCATGCATTACACTATCACATGAGCAAATTGTGCGGGGAGTATGACAGTCTATACTGGGTGGGGGACAGACAGACAAAGATGCAGAGAGAGACGGAGTGGCTCCAAGTGGGGGGAGACAGGTGTTGCCAGGTTGGATTGGAGGGGTTTTTGAGGGGGGCACAGCAGGGGTGAGAGCAGTTGCTGAAGGTTAGTCAGGCAGAAACAGCAACAAAAAAAAAGGAAAGGTAGATCATTTTAGAAAAATATATGATTGAGACGGAGGTAAAGGGGAATACAAAAAAGGTGTATATCCAAGCCAAGTTAACTATAAGCACAAAAAAAAAAGGAAAAATCACAGGCTGTCCTGCTCACTTGCTTTTTCTCTCGACACCATCACAGCCCTCTGACATCACCTGACGGATTAAGTGCTTTTCATCTTGTGGCAGGGTTTTTCACCCAGAGACTGCAATTGAAAATCTAGCTAAAAAGTCCTGTTAAGAGCTTAACAGCCTCCTTTGTGATGGGGGAGGAAAAGCGCCGGCTAAAAGGTCAATAGGCTTCCACTTAAGATCCTGATGATAACAGCGAGAACGACAGCACACGTTGGCATAATAATTCCTGCGGTGATGTATATTGCTTTTTGAATGTGCCTTCCTCAAAAGCTACTCTGCGGATGCTGAAATCACATTTGCATGCACTTGCACACACACACACACACAGGATGGGGAGTTGCAATTTGCAGTAGGTCAAGTATGGTGATGAAACCAAAGAAATGGTGAGACCTGACATTTTCAATACTTCAAATAAACACACTCACACAAGGGAAATCTGCCAATAAGATCCAGCAGCACACAGCTAGCAGCAACATCATATGCATACCAACAGTTTCTTAGTATAGACATGTCTGTTATCAACTGAGTGTCAAAATGAATTCTGGGGAAACCTGTAAAACTGGAGAAACTTTGCACAATCTTTGGTATGAGAGAGTCTCTAAGTCTGATATTTCTGGTTTCTGCCATGTAGGGCAAGGCAATGAGTGCTGAATGTTTGACAAATCATGGCAAAGAATCCAAAACTATTTTTTTTTATTTGATTGACAACTTTTTTTTTACACAGTGTAAATTGACAGGGAGCAAAACTGACACACCTGATAAAGTGAGCAGGTTATAAATAACAATGGGGATTCTCTATGACTACTGTTTGACCCAGATATAATTGATATCAGAGAGGTCTTTGATTCATCTAAAAGTTTCTTTTTATCCAGACATAAACACTTCCTGTCTATTGGGGCAGTGATACTTGAATAAAAATCTGAGGTAGTTTACAGGGCAAAACTGTTTATAACAGGGACAAAATCTCATGTTGAGAGCAAGCAGCACCCCCTTAAGTGGAGAAATGAAGCCAACACGAAAGTGCCAAAAACTGCTGTTCATCAAATGGTCACTTGAGGCTGGCTCCGAAACACAGTCACTCCCTATAGACTTCCATGTTAAAGTGGCCAACTTAACAGCAGAAATAAACATGTTTACAGCCTGGTGCAAAAACACATTTGATCTCTGTGGCTAATTTTCCCCTTCATGACAACTGTGCGAGGTTTGAATTTTGATACAACTCACCCATTTCATTAAGGCTTAAAGTGATGCAAAATTAAGTTCTTGCTTTGAGTGACAGGCTGTCTGCGAGGCATCCCTACAAGCTAAGAGTGAGCTCCTCCACAGCTCCACCCTCTTGTCCAAATAGGGTCCCTTCCGGCTCCAAAAATCCAAGATGGTGACATTCGAAATGCAAAACTTGAGGCCTCAAACAACATCACGGGTGACATCACGATAGCTACGTCCATTATTTCATACAGTGTATGGTTGAGATATATGTTTATAACAAAACACAATCAAGTGTTGTGCTTGCAACATCACCTTTAGATTAAGCAGGGCAGTGTCAATATCAAGACAGCTGGTGCTGCTCTACCTACAGCACTGTGAGAGGAAAAAAGCTAACGATGGTCATTATGAGATGCCCACATGAAAGGCAGTAACTATAGTTTGTCTTAATACTGAATAAATGGAGAAAACAAAAGAAAAGTGGGAGATCGGGGAAAAATAGAGCATTATTAAGTTATTAATCTCATCCACTGACCGTAAAGACATGTTACCATTAGCAACAGCAAAGCAGTCAGCATGTTTGGGGCAGGGAGGCATGATAGGGTCATCATCACCAGGAGCAGTAAGTGAGATGAGTGAAGGGATCCCTTGAAGTGTGTGTTTTTGTCAGCATCTCTCCATCTAGGTCAGTGTGAGACCACTTGAGTGGCTACATAATTGAGTTAAGGTTTTTTTGTTGTTGTTTGTGTTTAGACTGAGCAGATTATGAAATTTTCATCATAGCTTGACATGTGAGCTTCTGTGGACACGACGACGGGCTGGAAACATCATCAAAAGCAAATCAGTGTGTAACGCCCACCATGGAGGACGAGTAAAACAACCATTTCTGTTGTGGAGTGGAGAGTTACTCACTTTTTTGAGCAGTGGTGGACTTTTAACTTTATTGGCTTGCCTGTGTTTGTGGGTAAGAGAGGGAAGAAGGCAGTGGAGATGAGCGCAGATGTGCAGTAGACTTGATATGGATTTCTTTTGCTCCTCAGAGTTCTTGGCAAATGCCAGTCTTCCCACACAAACACTGGCAAACTTACACCATCACACAACCAGTAATTTGCTGTCTAACACTGGCAGACATGATAAACATGTAGATTTTATGACAGCAATCACTCTCAAAACATTAAACTTTAAACACTTGTGCGCATGTACACACAAACACACACCCACGCTGCCACCCAAAGTCATTACATGTCTCTCTGTGGACTAGATGTGTGGTAGTAAACACTGCTGACAACACACAGCAATATCTGCCTCGAGCCATACTATTATCAAGGTGAGCGTGCAGCTACAGGAAGTGTAGGGTGACATAGTGTTATCACTGGGGAGCAGTCCCACTGGATCAATACAATCTAACATCATCCCTGAC